GCTGTTATTTCTGGAGAAACATCACGACGAGTGCAGGGAATGGCTCGGACGAATAAACAGTTGTATCTAGGCAAGAATCACAAGTGGGAGAAATCTACATACATTTAGTCGGTAGTCGGGCGTTGAACCACTAGTTGTCATCTATTCACCTGGAAATAAATGTTTTCAGTAGAGTTTTGTTTTTCGAAAAATATTTCGGCTATAATGAAGGCACCCTCATTGTCAGATTCCCACGAACTGCATATTTTATTTCTTTTTCAGTCGTTTTGTCAAATTTATTATGAATATGGAAATAACTTTTTACAAAAGCAATATATATTTTGATAGCACTGGAAATTCTGTATCATCTTGTACTTCGCGAGCCTCCACTTACAATTATTTGCTGAGAAATATTTCGAATATTGTTAATGTACTCACGTATCACATTCTCATAGATTGCATTCCATGCTTGTTCAACTAACTCTTCTATTTTTACATACCACGAGAAAGAGCGCATTCAAAAGTACAAAAAGAACTGAGTTCTCACTTTTCTTTTACGGAAATAATAACAGAAGAAGAAAAAATTTAATATTTCGAATATTTTTAATGTACCCACCTATCTGGGAAAGCAGAGACTAATAGAGAATTTCAACCGCTACTAGAATATATAATTACTTTTCGAAAAATATGTTCGTGTATATATAATAAATTTAAAAAATCGACTGAAAACATTTAAAATACCAGGCAGATAGATTACTAGCTGGAAAGGAGACTGGCGTTTTGATATTCTTCGGAAATTACTCTGTTGATTTCATTGTAAATAAAAGTAATCAGGTGTCTTCGTGACTATAAGAACCGCTTAAAACTGATTATTTTCGTCAAACTGGGTTTCGACTACATTTCGCAACCTTTTCCAGGAAGCGAACAGTGCGAAGGGAGCCTGTACGGTCGACGATCTCTCTTTCTATGGAATATATTGCTGATGTCATGTCTACACACAGCAGTTTCAGCGTTTGGACTGCTCAATTAATCACAAATTACTATTCCCAAGATCTTGAGTGAAAGATTCAAGAATCGAAGATCTTGACTTCTTGGTGTTTTTTCCAAGATCTTGTGACATGTCTTAACCGAAGATCTTTCTTGGGAACAAGACCCTTCACTAAGGTTAGCACAATTTCCATTCATTTCTCTCTAGAAGTAAAGGAGACGTCTAACTCAATTGAAAAACCATCCAAACTACTGTAAAACCGCACAATAAATGACTGTGAATGAGAGTAATCAGGTGTCTTTGTCTTTTCCGGGAAGCGAACAGTGCCAAGGGATCCTGTACGGTCGACGACCTCTTTCCACAATTCGATCATTCTTTCTGCTTTCACTCACAGGCTACGGGTATTTCTTCAGCATGAGCCTCCGCTCTACNAAATGACTGTGAATGAGAGTAATCAGGTGTCTTTGTGACTATAATAACCGCTTAAAACTGATTATTTTCGTCAAACTGGGTTTCGACTACATTTCGCAACCTTTTCCGGGAAGCGAACAGTGCCAAGGGATCCTGTACGGTCGACGACCTCTTTCCACAATTCGATCATTCTTTCTGCTTTCACTCACAGGCTACGGGTATTTCTTCAGCATGAGCCTCCGCTCTACAGATACGCTTCCGCTGTTGTAGGTACCAAGTCGAGGAACACCAGAAGCAAGTCGCGCTTCGACTGACTCTAACACTTCACCAAGAGGTTCAACATCTGCAAGTAGTCATCCTTCGCGCCATAGTCACACTTCATCAAGTGCGCCAACAGCAGAAGCAAGTCACGGTTCGACTCACACTCACACTTCCACAGGTGCTCGAACACAAGCTGCAAGTCATGCTTCAACCGAGAGCGACAGTTCACCAAGCACTTTAATATCTCCACCAAGTCACACATCGACACACACTTCACTAAGTGGCACAACATCACCAGCAAGTCTGAATTCGACTCAGAGGGACACTTCACCAAGTAATCCAACACCTGCCGCAAGTCATCCGTCGAATGACATCAACAGTTCACCAAGTCATGCAACATCCGGAACAAGTCACGCTTCGACCGACCGTCACACTCAACTAACTAGTCCAGAGTCGGTAAGCAATCGACAAATGTAACGGGTGCAAATACTTTGCGCAAACATTGTCTGCACTTGAAACGGACTCTTTGTGCTCGTGCAAGAGCAGAAGCACAGCGCTCGAACCGCTTGTTTCCTTGAACGCGACAACCTTGATGCATCGAAGAGTGGGTTTGTTTACAATCAACTAATTATATCTTTATTTCCATTACTTTATATGGAATATATTGCTGATGTCATGTCTGTACGCAGCAGTTTCAGCGTTTGGACTGCCTTGTAACATAAGTGAAATGTTTTGCTTTAAAAGTGTTGCTATTTAACGACGATAATTTTTTCTCTCTATTTTGCATAGGTAGAGACAACATCTGCTTTGAGTCCAACTAGACAAACAAATTCACCTCAGCCATTTGTAAGTACACTTCATGCATCACACGCTACTCGGGCAACAACCTGTATCGAAGACATACTGCTGATCACAAATTTCAAATCAAATCTTATTTCCGCAGTTTAGTTGGGATGATTCGAAAAGTCATGGCTTGCTCACGCTAATTATTGCAATAATTTCTCCCCATTGTACAGATGTCTGAGCATAGCGTTTTAATTCATTTTCCTTTATGAGGGAAATATCAACGTAAAGGTGACCAGTGAACTGGATAGCTCACTCTCAACCATTAACAGGTCGTTCAGATTGAGACCGTACCCTCACCAAAGTAACTGTTTATTCCTCCTTCCAAACGATTCCTTTCTCTTTGCTTTCCAATGATATAGCTTTTGCAGTTTAATCCAATCGACATCTTTTAAGACCACTCTGAACTATTTTAGTTACCTGATATTCGAATTCCACCAGCCACTGAAACACCAGCAGAGAGTCACAGTTCGGCTGTCATTGATACTCGACCAACTAGCCCAGAGCCGGTAAGCAATCCACATGTGTTAAGGCTGCAAATACCGTGGAGAAACATTGTCTGCAGTTGAAACATAGTCTTTGCGCCC